ATACATACACACATACACACACACACATTTTTATCTCAAAGTAGACCCTTGGCTCTCCTAGAAAGAGTTTGACTTCAATTAATTTATATTTTTATGATATGAAAAGTGTATTTGTTTGAACAAAACACTTCATAGTTCACCGAGTATTATTTTAATATAAGAATACTTCACAGCTTCACCTCCACACATGATATATTCTTTGTTAATCGTATATTAACTGGTTCAAAACATTTTAACTGTCCAGCTGTTACACTATTAAGATATTTTATATATAATACTAGTTTTCTTCTTGTTTAAACGCCAATAAATCTGAATATTTAATTCATGTTTCTACTTTATGTTTCTTACCGGCTGAAGTTATTATATTATATTCATTGTTGTGAACCAAAACACAACGGAAGATAGATTTTCATGTCAATAAACTCAGATTAAAGTCTAACGTTCATTCATTTATTTAAAAGGTGAAATTATTTTGTAAACATTTTTATAATTATATAATTTGTTTGAAATTACATTTTAAATTAATTAAATGTGGATTTAAACTTGTTTAATTACGTCTCCAAGTGGTCGTTTTAATTTCATGTTATTTACGTCACTGTTAACTTTTTTACGGTTTAACATCCTTAGCGTCGTCTTGTTGATAATAGTGACGCTTGTTAGCTTTCCATGCTAGCGAGCTAACAAGCTAACAATAACTGATGAGTTCTCTAAATTTAAACCACTGAGTCACATCTTGGTGGTTATATTAAAAAGGCCAACAGAAGCTAATGCTACATAACGTTAGCATTATCCGCATAGCTGCCGCGCATTAGCATAATGCTAGTTACCATTAGCATTATGCTACATGCCGTTAGCATCATGCTACCTTTAGCCAGAGCCACGGTGGAGTTCTCCGTGTCGATGGTGTAAAGGATTCCTTCATAGCGGATCTCAGCCTTAGAGATCAGGCTGATCTTACTGCCCAGGTAGGGCGTCCCTCCGCTCATGGTGTCCAATACACGGTCCGCGGTCCGAACAGGTAACGAGACGGACGGTGCTCCGAGCCGTGTGGTAACGACTGGGACCGATTCTACGACGAGTATCTACGAGTTGAGCTTTTCTTTTCCACCGTCACCGCTTCTACAACAACATGGCTACCTCATCCTCCATCGGACGACTGAGTGAGCGCGGGGGCTAACGGGAACACCGTAATATCGCGAGATTACTCGCCACTGTGAGATCTAGATCTGTGCGAGGTAGAAGAGCAAACACGTCAACGTCTAGTCAATTTCGGTATATTAGTGAGGTCTTTAGGAGGGACTAGAAGTAAATAAGTACATTTAATAAATACTTCATATAAGTACATTTATTTAGTACATTAACTCAGTAAATCGTAAACATAAAACATGTTTTTACTATGTACTGGCTCTGTGGCACTCTGAGATTTTTTTTAATGAAAAGTGCGTTACAAATAGAATGCATCATCATCATCATCATAATTATTTAATAAAATCGGTTTAATAACAACACATTTGTATCATGTGTTCCCAGAAACATTATAAAAGATTTAAAGTCTTGATTTTATTGTATGTCTTTCAGTGACTGAATGGATAAAATAACTTCTACAGTTCAGACAGTTTAAAGTTTTACTGTTTTAAATTTATATATTTTTTAAGAAGTATTCTTACTTTTCTCTATTTAATGTTTAGCTTTTATTCCATTCATTCATCCGTTCATTTCACAACAAAATGAGAAAGATTTGTAATTCTATTGTTGATGTAAACTTTATATATTTAAGCTATATTAAGTTATTGTTTTATAATAAAGAGGTTCACCTGTAGTACACTCACCTGAACTCACCTGAACGCAGCGCCACATCCAAACGCGGTAAATCTATTTCTCCTATTTCTATGCTCGAAAACGACTCGAATCCTTTCGCGCATGCGTAGATTCTAAAATACGATTTGCACAACGGTCCGACATCAAAGATGGCGGGAGCCTCCGACCCACTGGAGGACATGCTCTTCACTGAGGTGGACGAGAAGGCGGTTAGTGACCTAGTCGGCTCTCTGGAGTCGCAGCTAGGAGACAGAAAAGCTTCACCCGCCGCTTCTTATTCCGGCGGGAAACCGGACGGAGCTCCACGTGCAGCAGCGGATCAGTTCTCAGGGAAAGTGCTCGAGGTTCCGGTGGATCCAGTGAGGTCCGTGGAGCCGCAACAAGGACGTCCGAGAGAGGGGTTAGACCAGGACTCAGGAGCTACAGAGCTGCTCTCCGGTAAAGTCCTCCTGCCCTCCTCTGGGTCCTCCCCGGTAACCTCCGGAGCGACTCCCCCTACTATCTCCCCGGTACCGGGACCCGTAACTTTGACCACTCGGTCCTCCGCAACTGTGGGTTCGAGTCCCGCTACCGTCATCGCTGTGGATGCGATCCGGACCGCTTCTCCCGGACTACAAACTTTGAACGGATCGGTAAAGTTGGTGAACTCGGTCCCTGCAGCAGCAGCACCAGGGACCAGCACGGTGATCAGCACCGTGAGCACCGGGGGCTCCACAATCATCGCCTCTCAGCCTCACTTCACTCAGACCACGTTAACGTCTCCCGCCGTCTCTCTGCAGAGACACCCGGGTCCGGTGAACGGAGTTGACCCCAAGGGCCCTCAGGTGGTGACCCACAGCGGCCCTCTGATGCACACCACCACCACCACTACCAAGATGTTGGTGCAGAGCCAGCCGGTCTCTGGGAGCTCCGTCATCCTGACCGGGACCCCCCCTCCTGCAGCCCAGACCCCCATGGTCCAGACCGGGACCAGTACGGCTGCAGTGACCCTGAAGCCGGTGGTCAACGGAGTGGGTCAGACCTCCGTGTCCGTGGTGAGGCCCCCGGGGGCCCCCGTGGTGACCACGTCCATCCAGCAGCAGCAGAGACCTGGACTAGTGGCCCCCCGAGCTACTGCTTCTCAGCTGGCCGTCCGGCCTCAGCAGCAGACCACCATCCAGCTGCCCCCTGGATTCTCCATGCCTCCAGGTGAGTAGACCTCCACCTGTAGATGTTTCATCCTCTAATGTGTTCTTATCACGTCCCAGTCTCAGAGACAGGTACACCTGGTTCATAGAGAGAGAAAGAGAGAGAGAGAGAGAGAGAGAGAGAGAGAGAGAGAGAGAGAGACAGGTACACCAGGTTCATAGAGAGAGAGAGAGAGAGACAGGTACACCTGGTTCATAGAGAGAGAGAGAGAGAGACCTGGTTCATGGAGAGAGAAAGAGAGAGAGACCTGGTTCATGGAGAGAGAAAGAGAGAGAGACCTGGTTCATGGAGAGAGAGAGAGACACCTGGTTCATGGAGAGAGAAAGAGAGAGAGACCTGGTTCATGGAGA